CCTAAAGGAGGACGACGTATTGATGTTAGTAGAGCCGAATGCAAAGAGAGGAGAATGGCCTCTTGGTCGAGTTATCGAAGTATTTCCTGGAAATGATGGATTGGTATGAGTTGTAAGGATAAAAACGAAAGACGGTGAATACTTGCGTCCGGTGCACCGGTTGTGCCCTTTTGAATACGCAGGAGACAATTCATAACGCTCGGACTGTTACCTAAGACATTGAACACATCGCAGTTATATATTAACTAGTTTTGTTAGTTGGGTTCGAATGTTTTTACATTCGGGAGGGGGATGTTTCTGTCCTTATGACAGCATCCAGTTAAAAAGAGAGATCAGGAATGCGACCGCAAAAGACAAGGACCGCGGGCGCAAAAACGTGAGACGAACGTTTTTTTGTCGTATCGAAAGATTGTTTTGCGAATTCCGTTAAATATTATGTAAATTTCTTGTTAAAATACACGAAAAAACTGAAAGCTATTTGTTCCACGTAAAATCGTCTTGACTTTTCTCACGATGGAGAAACAATGTTTCTTGCACAAACAACTAAATTGCGTACACAACTTACATTATCATAACTATCTAATTTGCGCCGCTCTCGTGATTCGTGAAGCATAATACCTTCATAATATAAGGGCATAATACCAGCAAAAAAGGGCATAATTCCCGTGATCGCTTCGAAACCTGACCAATATTCCGGTAATGAGACATTGTGTGTGATCACTGATCATGTTTCTATATGAACGATTTTGTGTGAGCCGTGAAGTAGCAAATTAACAAATAAGGTTAGACCAAATAGTCTGTAATTTAATATATCACTTTGTCGTCTATGCGCTTAGTCTCGATCTGTTTATAAGCCTATATAAATATATACTTCTTGACGGAAGTAACTATATTTTTTCAAATGCGTTTTTTCCCACCCACTTACAAAATTCCGCACGGGACGGCGCCCCCTTTTCATTTTTGCGCCCCACAAGAATTGCCAGCTGGGGGGGCCGTGGCCCCCCGGCCCCCCCTGCCAGCACGCCACTGTGTGTGGTCATAGAAGAGTTCTACTATATTTTCTTTAAAAAGGGTTAGTATTACATCATGGCATCTTCGGAAAAAGTTAAATTTCGCCAATATTTCGTCGTAGAAATAAATACTTTATAATTGCCCGATTTATTAATGTCTTTTATTCAGGGAATGTTCCATTAACCTTTGAATAAACGAATTTACATTCTTGCAAATCTACTGTTTTCTTCCCAAAAAAGAAGGCCAAAAACTTGTTTGACTTGTTTTTGCTTATTTTAAAAATTTTGAAAGAATTTTTCGCGAGCGCCCGCAATTTACTGACCAGCGGAGACAAAATTCCCATCTGTTGGGATCGCGGGCTTTTGTTATTATTTTTATCTTACCCAAAATCAAATATCGATTAAAATTCCTTGTTTGGTACGTTTCCAATGATAAGAATCACATAACAAAAGCAAGGATTCTCAAAGGATGGTTTAATATACGACGGATTAAAAAAAAACCCGTTTCTACATCTATTGATCTACTTCGCCCATAAAATGGCCGCCAAAGGGAATTTGAGCCCCCAGTACCATAGTTCGACACTAATCCCTTACAAACGTCTTTAAAGCCCGTCCAAACGAGAATAAGGGTTGATGAGAGTTGGCAGTCACGCATTGTTACCGGGGACATTCCCAGCTCCAGATTAACAAAATGTTTGATGAGTGTTCCAACTGCGTTTTCACTTGAATGAAATACATGATAGTGTTGGAATACCATTAAGAACAGCTAACCATGATGGCGTGACTGCCAGTTCTCGTGCACTCTCTTCCTCGTTCAGTGGCGCTCTGGGACCAATGTTTTTTTGGGGGGGGCAAGGGCAGTACTTTTCCGACAAACCCGGAAAATGTTTTCCGACAAACCAAAAATTTTTCTGGACAACATTTTAAATCTTTACCCCCCCCCCACAACTTTGACAATTTCCGACAACATTGACAATTTTCCGACGGGTCTCAACAATAGGGGGCCACTGTCCTCGTTTGATCCAGGCTTAATACGTACTACCGTCACTTTCAAGGAACTTTATTAAAGTTGGGCATAGAGTTTTGCGGGTGACTTTGTCCACAGTCCACTTTGCATATAATTGTTTTCTGGAATGTCATTGCCAGCAGTTCCTTCCGCACGTTGTAACCAACAATCTAATGTAATTGTAAACCGATTGTATGTAACTTATTGGGATAGATGAACATAACCCTAATCTAATCTTAATCTGACACTAATCTAAATTTGATGACCTTTTTTTTAATAATCTCTTTTAATAAGTTTAATAATGTATATTATAATATTATTCATTGTAGTCACTATGTGTCTTCTGTTTGGCCAGTAGCTTACAGCTAAATATGGAAATCACGCAACCTACACATAAAACACTTATCTGCTAGCAGATAACTGAGTTATATGTAGGTTGAGCCCGCGGTATGTAATTTTATAGCAAGCGACAGTTTTAAAAAACAGCAAGAACAAACGGCGCTTTTGTGAATGTTTTTTGTGCAAAAAGCAGACCTTTTTGAAACTCTAGTAGGCAGATGAGATTTGTAATATTTTTAGGCTGTTATCGTGATATTTCAAATCGTTTCCACTGATTTTTTGAGGACCAAATGTTGTTTTGTGCGACAAAGCATTGTTTGTCTAAAGAGTTAATGGAAATGCAATGTATAATAAAACAGTTAGTGAATTCGGTTTTTGTGATACCCGAAGCTTCAGAAGATGTTTGAAACAAGCCTGATTTTCTTCAAGAATCGAGTTTATTTCACAATACATTAAACTAGAATCGACTTAATTAATAAGTCAAATTCTGATTTCAAACGCAATAAAAATTTACATCCGTTCAATTCAAATACATAAAAATACGCCAAAATAAGAACAATCTTCTAATTTTTAATAACTGATCACTTTCTGAGCTGAATTGAATTATGCAGGGATACCGAATTACTATGCAGTACACCAATTAGCGCAGATACATGTACGCCTAGTGTACCTATTTTTATATTATGTACGACCAAAAGGAGACAAGCCACCATAAGCTTGTGAAAGAAGCGTACTTCTAACAGCTCAATGACGTTCCGGAAATTTGAAGTCAATTTGAAGGCCAGTCCCAGTCTTTCCACGCACGCGAAGAGCGCTGAATCAGTCGATGTATAAACACGCGTGTCTTGATTTGGCTTCAAGAAAAAGATAGGCAGTTTATCTGAAGGTGGCGTTTCAGTTATATTCATTTCAATGACTTTTACTAGATTAACAAAACTTTTATTACACAAAGAACAATGAAATTGTTTATTTTTAATTATTCATAAAAACGTTTGCATGAAGTGTATATTCATGAGTTAAAAGATACGATAAATAAGAATGTTAATACGAAGAATACAATGGGGGTGGGGGGACATGGTTTTTTTTAGTAATTTTTAAAGTAATATGAGTTATAGAGGTAGGAATTTAAATTCCTCTTCCACACTCTGCATAGAAGATGCAATTTCCGATCGTGCATAGGTGGATGACTGATCTCGAAACTAGGACTGGATAGAGCAACTTTTGAATTCAGGGAATTAATTTTGAAGTCACTTTACATTAGACTTACTATCAAGAAAATACAGAAGAGGTTCTACACGTAACTTGAAAGATATACATGTAGCTTCCTACCGCTCTTCTAATGAGTTTCACATCGTTTAAACACGAGATGAAAATATATAGTATGGAAGGCATATTGGTGTATTACTAATAGCCAATTTCTCGCCAGGCACTATTTTTTTATTTCTACCACTAACTAGAAACTTTACGAACCTCTCACCAATATGGCTGCTATTGGTTTCATTTATGCATAGCAGATGCTCTTATGTAGTACTAGGTCTGAGATCAGTGGTGTGGATTTTGGAATAGAACAGTTATGGAAGAGGCTGGAGTATTGGACTCCATGAAAATGGAAGAGACGTCAGACGATACCAAGAAGGCTAGCAGTAAAAGAGAAAAATTCCCTCATTTTAACAGATTTTCGATTGTCTTATGCAGTCTTTTCTGTGTATTCTTTTCACTGCTTTTTGGCGACTTGTAGGGCAAGCATCTTCGACATACTCTAACGCAGTGGGATCCATCATCAAATAAATGCCTAATCTCTTTCGGCGCGTTAGCCAGCTTATAGCAACTGTATGATTTCGACACTGGATGCATACATAGCTTGCAAATGATTCCGCTGTGGCCTTTCAGATGTCTTTGGTCTAGAAAAAAAATAAGAAACGTTGCTTGCTGCAAAAAAGGTGAAACGAGGATACGAGTTCATGCAATGATGAGAACTGGCAGTCACGAATTGTTGGGTATTTCAAGCTCTAGATTAACAAAATAAAGGTTTGATGAGTGTTCCAACTATGTTTTAACTTAACACAGAATGTATGATAGTGTTGGGAAAGCATTAAGAACAGCTAATCAAGGTTGCGTGACTGCCAATTCTTGTGCACTCTCATCGTCGTTGATCGGGGCTATAGCCTGCTTTATAATGTGGCCTCTTAATAATTAGTTGTCTACCAGTTGTCTACGAGTGTATATAGTTGACCGCTATAGTTGCAGAGTGAAACTGCACCAAAAAAGACACTTGAAAGGGAAGACTATTTAAATGTATAAAAATGTTTAAACAAAAAAACACTTGGAAGAAGACTACATGTAAGACTGTCAAAATATGGTTAACGTCAATTAATTATCCTTTTCCGTTCATTTGGAAAAAAAATCGGTTACCGGTCAAAATTAGGGACCGGTCATTATGGCGGGGGGAGGGCAACGAAGAGAAATAGGTTGGGTAAACAAAATTTTGAGTGAGCAAAAGGTTGGGTAAATGAAACACAAAAGGGTTGGTTAATACAAATTTAGCCTCATTTCCAAAGCATGACTCATTCAAATAATGAAGAATACAAAAGCAACGTCAACAGTCATACTGTGTGCCAAATACAATATGTAAATCAATCAGAGATTTGTCAGGAGGCAAATCGTGTCTCCAAAGAAAGTGCATGTGCAGACAACATGAAACTTTAGACTGCAGAAAATTGCACAAGCAAAAACATGTCACAGAAGTGGTAAAGAGAATGTGTGACAACTGAATGGTATCCTGTTGTAACGTTTTTGGCAGGGGGTTGGTGCTTATTTTTTACTTGATAGTTGAGGTTGGGTACAAAAAATTTAAAATATTTTAATGGTTGGCTCAGAAAAATATTTACCAAGAAAAACATTTCTCTTCGGTACCACCCCCGCCATAAATAATGACCAGTCCCTTACAACAAATGTAACAAGTAACCTGTAACAATTTACACTCTTCCGGAAAGCATGTCACTTTGGCTATAGAGCCTCGGTTTCGTGTGCGGCATTATCTCAAGCCGAAAGCATCAATCACGAAAACAACGCTCTACAGTCAAGATGACGAACTTTCCGAAGTGTACCATCAATGGGGAAACTAGCATGGTGTTATACTTACATTTCATTCTTCTCTTGTGTTTTTCTTGTTTCACTTGCAAGTGTTGGTTATCTAACTGTTTGTTTTCAATAGCAGCTGGTGATGTACCCCTCGAGTTATCTTCGCTTGATATGGGGACGTTTTCATTCGAAGACGGTGACAAACTAAAATAGAAACATTACATTTATCATTCTAGTTTTGGATAAGACATTATATTAAGCCGGTTACAGACGAACAAGTTTTCGTATGCCAAGTATGCAAAGAAAATTTGGCAAAGAAATTTGAGCACTTGCACCAATGTGGTTGGTCAGCGATCTAATTTTATTGTTGCAATACTCCAATTTTGAACACAAAGGTATTTCCCTTTGATATTAAACACAATGCTATTCATAAATCTAGACCTAGGGGTGTCTATTTCTTTATCAAATTCTTTTTTGGATTTGGAAAAGCAATTACAAAAACATAAATGAACTAGAGACAAAATGGGATACTGTAGTAACAAGGACAAGTCTGTCAAGGATGTCTTGTGAGTTTTCTCTGGGCAATCCAGTTTCCTTCCACAGGGAAAGTTGACAGGGTGGGAAAGGATAACGTTAATAAACACAGTTAAGAAAGTAATTACAATTGCTGTAAAGATAAATAGTCCAGGCTAAAGTAACATAAGTAAGCGTACCATAATACTTGATGTAATCAGTCACTGAAAAGCCCCAATGGGGAGTGAGATGAATAATGTTATGTATGTAATGTAATGTAAGGTCCCTCTAGTGACTGGTCATTGCTAAACTCAAGAAGATGGACGAGAGGTAGGTTTTCAAGATGGTGGCTATTTTTCAGGCACTAATAACAATCTTAAACCTTACCACAAACCTTACCCTAAAACTAACCCTAAACCTAACCCCAATCCTAACCAGAACATTAATTCCAAACTACAGCAAACTCTGGTTTCAATTTTGAACTACCTTGAGAAGCTCCCTCTCATCTATCTGGCTGGATCCATCCCAGGAATCCTTAACCTACCTATTAATAGCAATGAATCTTAATCCTTTAGGTGGAATGGACCCTGATGCACCGTATTTTATTATTTTACTCCGAAAGAGTGCTGCATCTCAATGGGTTAATATGCTTATAATGCCCTTTTTTATTATGCACCATACAATCTTGATTTAACAATTCTCAAATAATCGTTTATGCTGAGGTTTTTCCAAGTATTTTCAATTTGAATTTGATTCACCAAAAAAATTCGAAAAATAAGCAGTTAATATTAAACCAAATTATTGATATCTGGCCAACATTGTTAAATCCGAGCTTGAGTGACCCGTCAAATTAGCGCCTTGTTAATTAATTACTCAAAATTTAAAGGGCCTGAATACCACGTTTTTAATCTCGCATAGAAAATACCAGAACAAAGTTAAATTTCTCGCTCTTTAATTTAATTAATAAATCCAAAAGGAGAACTTTAATTCATGTGTTGGAAAATCCAAGGTCAAGAAATGAAAGAGATGCAGCAATAGGTATGGTATACTACGGTTGAACCGAAAATGCCCTGATAAATGATATGATGTACTGTACCTCAATTCATCAACGCTTCCCAAACGTGCGTCCTCGAACAGCGAATCTGCTGACGTTTCGGACATTGAATCCAAGTTAGTTGGCGAGGCCTCGCTTTGCTCTTTACTTAATTCCTCAGCACTTTTCACAGTCGTTGTACTATAACTGCCATCAAATAACAGCGCATTTTGTCCAGAAAATCCCATAAAATCCTCCTGTTTCTCGTTTCCTGTCGTAAAACACCTCAAAACATGGTCATTTCTAACAAATCTCGACGCCTCGAAAAACTTTTCATTTGCTAAACCAGTTGGCGATTTCTCGTTTTCCAAACGATACTGTTTGCTGAGGTTTATCAAATGCTGTGCAAACGAAATACCATGGCCAGGAAATGTTGGTATATCATTGTTTACATTGCAGTCAAATGAATCTGTCATATTAGACATACTATCATGTTCATTCAGTGAAGTAGAATCCATTTTAATGTCTGTCTTGTCATATTTTTGTCTATCAGAATCGATATTATTGGCTGAAACTTTAGGCAAGTCTTGAGCGGATGTCTTAGCTTTGCGTATAATCGTCTGTTGGTGATCTTGGTTAGTTTTAAGCAGTGGATTCGAATCTTGGCAAACAGTCATGTCCTTGGCATATTTCAAAGTGTTAGCCGAAACACTATCTATGTTTACGCTACGTTTGGTCAGATCGTCTTGAATTTCGTTGCCAACACACGCCGTATCATCCTTCGAATTTTTACCGGCTGGTTTTATAGCGTTCTTGATATCTTTCTTTGATGGTTGTGTTTCAAACAATGCGTTTCTGTAGGATTCGACTTCCTGAGAAATTGCGTCCTTTGCGTTGAATTTGATAACACCATTGTATGAAATAGATTTCATCCCCACCTGATTTTCAGTGGTGTTACTTTCCACAAATGACGGGCATAAATTACGCGTGGTATTATAGGATTCTTGGATTGAATTTGCGTGAATTTCGTGCGCGGTTCTACTGTTCTCCTGGCTTGATGTTTTATTCATGAGTGCGGCTTTGTTTAGGGTACTCATGGAAGGCAAAATATCGGAAATTATCACAGAATCGGCAGTAGCGCGCGCTAAGGCTTGATCCACAGGTCGCACACCTCTGTCAACATGTGAAAGTCTTTTAGTAGTGCTGTGGTCCAATTTAGTAATTTTGCTAGAATTCTTTAAAGATTCCTTCTCTTTATCGACGCGTCGGTTTTGTGCTTTCCCCGTATTATTATTCGCCGCGGTGCGCGCACCATTCTCGAAGCTCAAAGCAGACGATATGCAAATTTGCGATTCGTTACCCAATTGTACGGCTAATACACCAAGATTACATAGCAGCTCGCTCTTCGTGAGCGCAATTTCTCGCAATTTTATCGCAGCTTCCCGAGATAATTTGAAACTCACACGGACATTTCGTTCGCGATCGCTCATGGTCAAACTTGGGTTATTAATACAAAGGCCATTCATTGATATACTCCCTAGCTGGCCAGCGTGTGACGGAATGAAATGCCTATGCGAAATTTGACCTCCACGAACTACCGTTGGCCTCGCCTCGTTTCCGTTATGGCAAATATATCATGCCATATTTGGTGGTCAGGTGTGAGCTGTTAATTGTTGCAATAAGTGAAATTTTTCGCTATTAATGTCATATTCAGGTTTTAGATTATTTCTACTGGGCTCAGTTAGAAACTTACTCAAAAATACGCAAAAAAACTGAGCTATTGGTTTACAAGGGTAGGTTGACTACAAAATTTTTGTAGTTCGCTATAACTACAGCTACTTCAAAAATATGTAGTCAGCTACAACTACTGCTGCTACTTTTGAACATTTAGCTAGTTCGCTACTGTCTACAGCTACTGCTTATAAGATGTAACAAACTATTTCGCTATTTCGCTACGTTATATTTTTTAGTTTTACTATATGATTTGGAGCATCTACTAACTCAGGCTGTAATGATGTAACCTATAGCAAATCGACTTACGAGTAGCAACAGTAAACACAAAGCAACATTTGTAAGCAATGGTAAGCACTATATACAGTGTTGAGGACTGCAAGTTGCCTATTGAGTACTGAATAATAGTAATAATAGCAAAAGATTTTAACGGCAAACTGTGTGTGTCTCAATATCATGCTATTAGCAAGGCTGAGGCTACTAGCAATTTTAAAAAGTAGCGAATAGCGATTCGCTGTTTGAAAAGTAGTCAACTACTTGGCTACTTTTAGGCAAAATGTAGTTCGCTGTAGCAAAAAACTACTGGCTACTTGAAAATTGTAGTTCGCTACAGTAGCAGCAAACTACAACTACTTCGCTATTCTGCCCACTCAACCCACCCTTGTTGGTTCAGAGCCCTTCATCTTGTTACCTGAGATGGCAACGAAATCATACAGTTAAATCAGTGATTAGTGGAATCATTCCAGTATACTATTGCAAATGTTGAATATTTTATGTCTCGATTTCTATGAGGTGATACGAAGCCCAAATCAACTATACAGGGTGTATCAAAATAAACGCAATTCATCTTTTGTGCTTTAATAACTTTCGAAATATTATTTATAGTTAAACGCTTTTAGGCTTACTTCAAAGCCTGTTCTTTTCTCTTTCAAACAAACTATTATCCTTGTCTCCAATGCTAGTAATAATTGCACAAGAAAAGATTTAGTAAAACCTATCATTTTTAGTTGCTGTTTAATTATGCAAGTTTACTATGTTATTGTTTAGTCGGTTTAAAAGTTAGAATTTTCTTCTTTAAACTTTAATGTTGTCGTCACTACAACTGGAAAACCACGTAAGAACAAATTAAAAGTATTTTAAAAAAGACCAGGTTGTTTGAAAATCCTAAACGAATGCTAAAAATCGTCAAAACATTCTGGTGTCTGAGCCAGAGTGTCATCGAATTGTGATGTAATGTAAACAGAAATTATAGCAAGTTGATGTCAGTCAGCTTAGATGGTCCAAGCCAAAATTATATCGCATTTGAAGTTTCAAACTGAGTTAAAAATAGTGGAAGAAAAGCCGTAATTATACTTATTGTTACAATGCATTTAATAAAATGCAACATTTTTTTGTTTTAATGAAAAAATCAGTTATTTTCATGAGAACGCGATTTGTTATTCCATCTCAATTTTTTTAATCTCCAATCGCAATAACGTAAAGTATTATTACCCGCGAACCAATGAGTCAAATTTAAGAAACAACCCACTGTTAGAAAGCTGAATGGCTACGCTTTAAAATGAATGTAAACTTTAACGTTTTCATCTATTATTTGTTTAGCAATTTACATTTCAGTCGAGGATTGCGCTTTTTTTGATACACCCTGTATATCACCTCATAGAAATCTCGAGCCCGTGATGATGATCTAATTGTTAAATATATAAAAGACGACCTTTGGAATACTAGCCCAATGCTCTGCCAACTGAGCTACGCGGTCAGGACGGTTCGCCAAAGTAAGTGATATTTTGGAACAGAATCTAGTTCCTTCGATACCATGCAATGTAATCTAGTAATATGATTTTTTCTGTGTTGGTGTTGTGTACTCAGGTGAATATGATGTTTGTGATATGTTACTCTGAGTGTATATCCAACTACATACGTAGGGCTAGAGATCTGGGCTTTTGTTTAAGACCCCTAGTTATAACAAAACTTTTTTTTACTTAGTATAATTTCATGATGTCATAAAAATAGTACATAATATAATAACGAAAATATATACAATTGTGAGAGTGTTTAAAGGAAAGTTAGTGTATTTGACAGGATTTTTCAGATTTTTTAAACTTTATCAATTAAGCAATCATATTTTATAGACAGAGAAAGGAATAGTTGACATTAGTATTTTTGCACAAGTGAACATAATAAATCCTTCACGTTGATTGGTCAAATTTTACGTAATAAGCTGTTATATTCACCTGTAGGTGAATATAAAAAAACTGAAATTTTCAAAATGGCGGCTAGCCGTTTTGTGGAAGTTTACTGACAAAGAAATAAGCGAAATTAAAATAAAGTCAGTCTCAAAAACACAAAAGACTTGTGTAAAAATACTAAAACAATTATTCGCCTCAGGATCGGTGATTATCGGGGAATATTCACCTCGACTTCGTCTCGACGAATATTCTCCGATAATCACCGATCCTGAGGCGAATTATTGTTAATTAATTAGTTTAAATATAGTCTTCGGTAAGCTTAAGGTTATGAAATAATTTTAATATTGTAAACAATTTTCCATGCGAATCAATAACATTTGAAGTTCTCTCGTGAATTTCAGAATTTGACCTCTTGTTTTCCTTCACACTTGTTTAAAGATAAAGAGCAGAGCCCAGCAAATAACTTTAAAACCAAACATAATAAAAGTAAAATTTTAATTAGCTAACGTTTCGTTGTTTACAATACAACATTTTCAGAGCAATCTAAATGAATTTACAGGGTATAAAACAACGGTAACTCCGAAAATAAACATTTTAAAAATAATTTATTCATAATAATATTTAATAGTTTATTTTTTTTTAAATATTTATTTATAATAATATTTAATAGTTTATTTTCGGAGTTACCGTTGTTTTATATTTTATTAAAATACTCAGTGGTTCCCGTAATTTTATTACAGGGTATGGTATATATATTTACAAAATACTGAATGGTTTAATATTACAAAAACGGTTACATAGTTTGAAAGAACAAATGAGTAGAAAGAAAGGAAAACAACTTATCAGTAACTAGTTAATAAGTAAAGATTAATGTTAAGTGCATGGTTAGCATAGATATCTTATATACACTAGATAGTGCATCTAATTATTATGCAATTCAAAAATTGAAGCCGTGATTGCAGACTCAGGATATTCCCATGAAATGAGAAAACTCGAATGTTTTCTATTTCTTAAACAGGGAACTTAAACATTAAGTTAAACCTATTCCAAATACATTTTCAAACTATTCAAATGATGAAAGTTATTGTTGTTTTTTAAGCGTTTATTAGCGAGTGGGAAACTCCAACATGGCCGCCATCTATTCAAATGGGGGTAACCGCTGGAATATTCTTGGCTTCAATTTTACTAAAAGAGATGCGCTATCTAGTGTATATGAGATATCTAGGATGGTTAGTATAGTTATAAGGTTAATATTACATAACTAAAATAACTCATGAGGTGTAGATCTAATATTAGCATTAATTAAGGACAGGGTTAAGTTGAGAAATTAATAGGCTTTCACGGATAAGAAGATCCCACTCAGAAGTGCCTGATGATAGAATTTTGAAATCAGAAGCGGAGACTGGGTATTTGTGCATGTGTTTGTGAGCGAGTATACTAGACATGGTTGAGATAGAGCGTTCTTTTCCAGTCAAAGGCGAGACTCCCATATGCTCTGAGATACGTGTGTGAATGTGTCGGTGTGTTTGGCCAACATACAATGCGCTACAGCATTGACACGTGAACTGATACACAACATGTGATCTCAGGGCAATGGGAATCCTGTCTTTAAATGGAAAGAAATTAGAAAGGCGACAAGAGGGACGGAAAACAACACGTATGGAATATGTGGGCAAGCAGAAGCAAGAACTTTACAAAGTTGTATACGGATATGTAGACCATGATGTCCAGTGAAAGGAAGGCAAAAGTAGACAATTTTCTTGGAACATGTATGGACCTTGTCCTTGGTGTTATAAATCCTGTCAAGAAATGTCTTAATATCTGTCGTCACCATACTTACCCGTGTGGATGGTTAGGTGCAGACGTGGTCGGCTACTACTAAAAAGCGATACAGCGGTACAACGATACAGCGATACAGGAACCGGAACCTGGAACCGGAACCCGGAACCGTGCATAATTTATGCAAATTGCACCACAGGAGATATACATAATAATAATTTACAGGGAGGGAGGGCGCAATTCAATGATAATATACAATATTATTGTAGCACTAAATATTACGAAGTAAAACATGTTTCATAATTGCGCGGCGATTCTTTTTGTGTGTTTTGATGTGACTGCATGTGACGCACTTAGTTTATTTAGCCGCCGCACTTGATTATGAAATCCCAACAGACAGAGACGGAAACCACCGCACGCAAAGCAGATTGCGCTGAATTCACTAGCAATTGTGCCCTAAAATAATTCGAGTGTAGTGTAGTGTATGACGCAATCCAATGTCTTGAATGTGCTATATACGCTGCCGCCGGAATACGCGAATATTGCGAATATGCTGCATACTAAAAATATCCGCTTGACTGACATCGATCACAAACATGAATGAAGTTATGCAGGTAGCTTCAATGTCAAAAATACATTTAATGATGAAAAATTGAAATGTCTGATTGAAATTCAGCGTCGAAATTCACTTAGTCGTGTCTCTTACCCTATATAATATATAGTACTACCAAGTACCGTTTCCGACATTATAAAAGCAAAATCTGACATTGAAGCTGTTAACTTGAAGCGACTTGACATGGCCATGCCAATGTATTTTTTACATTGAAGTTACCTTCTGACATATAAA